GGGGCGGCTCAGGCTGCGTGCAGTTGGGGCCTGGGGAGAGCAGGAGGCCAGCCGAGCGGGACAGAGCCGAGAGGGACCGCTGGGGTTAGGAGGGGTCTCGAAGGGGAACCCCGGGTATGCACTCGCACGTGATGAGGTGGGTGGGCAGCGCCTGGGTGTCGTGAAAGATGACAAAGATGCTAGGCTGGCGGAGGCAGTCCACGGCGCTGTCGTAACGCAGGAGCCCGTGGCTCAAAAAACTGAAAATGGAACTCCCATTTGACCCTGTGATCTGTCAGGGCCCCCAGGGGACAGAGCCCGCGCCCCCGCGCACCCAGGCTTCCCGGGCTCACCATTGCGGCCGCAGAAGCTGCGGTTGAAGCCGTAGGCACAGATTTCGGGGACAGCGGGCACCGACGTGCCGTGGTACAGGATGTGCTCCACCGGCCGCTGCTCGCAGCGGTGCTCCAGGCGCTCTCGGTGCAGCTCGTACTGTTGCTGCAGCAGCGGGTGCAGCACGCGCTCCACCTGCCAGGCAGGCGGCCACAGGGTTAGTTGGAGACCCGCCCCAACCTCTGGGCCAAAGGGACAGCGCTGGGGTGGGAAACCAAGAACCCTGTGTTGGCCAGGCCAGCATGACTCAGTGGAGGAGCGTGGGCCTGTGAACCAGGAGGTCCCGGTTCAATTCCCCATCAGGGCACACGTCCGGGTTGTGGGCTCAATCCCCAGTGTGGGGCGTGCAGGAGGCAGCGGATCCATGAGTCTCTCTCATCATGGATGTTTCTGTCTCTCTCTCTCCCTCTCTTTTCCTCACTGAAGTCAATAAAAACATTATATATAATCTCCTGTGTTGGAGGAGGTCAGGGTCCAGGGAGACCGCAGGGCCAGCCTTCCAGGAGGCCCTACCACTCACCAGCTCTGGGCACCACAGACAGGCCTCTGCAGAGAGGAGCTGAGCCAGGTACCTCCCCGGCGCCAGGACTTCACCCCCAACACCAAGAGACACCCCTGGGCCTCGCAGTGCTGGGAAGACCAGGCGACCAGTCACACCGCCAGCCATGGACGAGCTGCAGCGACCCACACAGTTTATAAGGAAATTCTAACAGTCTCTGCAGGGCGATGCAAAAGATAGCATATCCACAAAACAAAACTAGCGCATGTGAAAAGAAGTACTCTGAAAATTCACGAGTTCTTACATTAAGAATGGAATTGAGCTGAAACCGGTTTGGCTCAGTGGATAGAGCGTCGGCCTGCGGACTGAAAGGTCCCGGGTTCGATTCCGGTCAGGGGCATGTACCTTGGTTGCGGGCACATCCCTAGTGGGGGGGTGTGCAGGAGGCAGCTGGTCGATGTTTCTCTCTCATCGATGTTTCTAACTCTCTCTCTCCTTTCCTCTCTGTAAAAACTCAATAAAATATATTTTTTAAAAAAAGAATGGAATTGAACTATTACTTGAAAAAGAAAATTTTTAATCCTCACCCGAGGATATTTTTCCATTGACCTTTTTTTTAGAGAGCGTGGAAGAGAGAGGGAAAGACAGAGAGAAGCATCGATGTGAGAGAAACATGTCGATTGGTTGCCTCCTGCACGCACCCGGTCTGCAACCCAAGGTATGTGGGCTTGACCAGAATCGAACCCGGGACCCTTTGGTCCGCAGGCCGACGCTCGCTCTATCCACACAGCCAAACCGGCTCGGGCTGAAAAACAATTTTTAAAAAACTCTTTTAAAGAATGAAATTGCTGAACGAAATCTAGCGGGGAGGCCAGATAGTAATCAGATCCTGGAGCTAGAGTTAAGGAGGGACTCCGAGTGCAGAGCTGAAGAAAAGAGTGGAAACTGTGAGAGAACCGCGAGGGAGGAGGCTGAGGCCCGTCGAAGGGAACTGCACGGGAAGAGGACAGCGGGCGACAGGAGCGCGGAGGTAGGAACGCAGCGCCCCGAGCTGGAGGTGGCGTCTCCAGGTGGGAAGGACCCATGAGATGACAGGACAGTGGGGAAGGACACGTCCCTGCCAGAAACTGTCAACCTTTGAAGCGAAAGACCACTCATGCCCACACACACACCAACGTCAACGCACAAACGGAAAAAGTCTCGCATCCTCACACGGGCGTCTCCCCGCCGATACCGGGCGCTAAGAAACTAAAGAGATTTTTTTTTTTAACTTTCCAAGAGCAAACATTTTTAAAGAAAAAGAGTAATGTTTTTCCAAGATTCCTGGAAAGAAGACATATTCTGATCCTGAACACTAGATGCAGCCACGCTGTTATTGGTGAGGACAAAATCAGGACACACGCTGACACAGGCAAGAACCAGCTGTGCTCATTTAAGTGGACGGAAACGTTTAAAGAAAGCCACAAGTGCAACTTCTGTTTGAAAGAGAATGCTTGGCATCAATGTCAAATTATAGTTGCAAATCACCTCTCATCGCAAAAGGCAAACAAAATTTAAAAGTTCAAGATGGTGACTACCAGGACCTGGCTGGGTAGTTCAGTTGGTTAGAGAATCATCCAATCCACCAAGGTTGTGGGTTCGACCCCCCCCCCCCAATCAAATCAGGGCACATACAAGAATCAACCAATAAATGCATGAATAAGTGGAACAACAAACCAAGGTCTCTCTCTCTTCCTGTCTCTCTCAAAATTAATTTAAAAAAAAAAAAGATGGTTAGTACCCACTCAAGGACATACTTCTACTGAACAGAAAACAAGATTTGTGCAAGAGAGCCGCCAGGAGCACGAGGAGCGACCCAGCGCCAAGCACAGCACAGAAAAGAATGGAGAGCGCGAGGAAAGCGAACAGCCGCCCGTCCTTGAACCCTGACGTATCCTCTCTCACACAACCCTGTTTTCATCACTAGGATGCACTTCTCCATGTGCTCTGTGGCTCAATGGTAAAGACATTTTCCATTATCTCTGTGTCCATCAACCTGCAGCCCAAGGATGGGGCTTTGTGATGGTTGCAGAATAGATGACAAAGCTCATTTGTCGACTTTGACGACAGAATAAAGATAATGTGTCCGACCACACTGTGCGATGGATGAAGGAGGAAGTGAGGGGGGGGGGCGAGAAACAGTTTCCCAAGGGAACTGGGGGAGCAGGGCCAGGGGAAGAGACTCAAGTGTACCCTCCAGAGTCACCCAGATGGTGCCTGGGAGACGCAAGTGCACGTAACTGACCACACGTGCAGGGAGCCAGGGACGCGGCTGCAGTGTGTCCCTCCCCTCCCCACGCGCAGAAGGGACAGCTGCCAGGTGCAGAAGTGGAGGAAATGTACTTGGTCCGAAGGTTAGCGGTCATCTCCAAGAAGTGGTGGCAGCTGCCAGGGCGGGTCTGGGGAAGGCCAGAGGTCCTGTCTCTCTGACCAGCTCCAGGTCGCCCAGGTGCTGGGTCCACCCACACTCTGTGCATCGGGAGTCAGGAGCGCCTGCTGGCCTCACTGGCACACGGGCCCAGCCCCCGCTGTCTGCCCCTTCTCGCCCCCCGTGAGCCTGCCCGTGAGCACTCAGCCCTGCCCTCTGCTCCAGCTGCTCCTCCCCTCCTTGAAGATAACGGTCTAGGATATAACTACTCACCATAACTGCTTTTAGTTATAGTTTAATTTCAGACCATCCTTTGTGGTTACTTTAGGTCTCTGAGTTTGCCAGACTGCCATGCAGGCCTCCCCTGAGCCTGTCAGGTCAGTCCTCCCATCCCCAGCTCCTTCTCAGACGGGATCCTGTCCTCACCCCGAGCCACCCTCCTCCCCCAGCCCAGCTTCAGCTCCGGCCCTGCCCTCACCCCCACTGCCAGCTGACCAGCCTGCAGAGCCTCCTCCTGCCCTTCCTTCTGGCCATGCAGATGCCCTGGGCCTCGCCACCCTGCAACACCCGCCCCTCCCCAGCCCTTCCTCAGCCTCTTCTCCCTCCCTGCTCTCCTGGGGTTCCCCTCTGGCTCCCACGGGGGTCCCAGCCTTTTGTGAGGCGCACCCACACTCAGAGATGCCTCA